TGGTTTGAATCTGTATCGCCGGTTAGTAGAAGTTAGGTAACCTGCAAATGATTTATACGTGACTCTATTAGGAAATCCTCAAGATCCTGTATATGATTCTATCCCACTGCAAGTCAGGGGTAATTAACTCAACACCTACACGTTTTCCTAAATGAAAAGACGGCTGATGGTCGCATATGGCTTTGCTTCAAGTTTTCATCCTATTTCTTTAGATTCTCGTAAAAAGGAAGTAAAATGACGCGGGCCTTAATTGATTAATCCATTATTTTTTACAGCCAAATGCTAAAAAATCCACAATGAACCTTGAACTACAAATGAATTATACTTCTAATACTTTTTTCCCCTGAGAAACACATATAAGTATACTTGAAGTATACTTACATGTAAAGTATACTTTATTTCTGTGAGGGCAGATATTGCAAGGACCACACTCAAAACAGGGGCAACCAAACATAAACTGGCCTGCAGTCACAGTTTCTGTTCATAGCAAAGAAATCTGACTTTTAAAACTGAGAAACCTTTTGCTAAAATAAATCTTAAAGTGTCTAACATGGCCCTGGTTTAGACAGGTTTGTTGCCCTGTAAACATTATTAAAAAATTAGCATTCATTATTAAATTATTATCATTATTGTAAATTATGTAATCTCATGCAGAACAACAATAATATTACAGTTAGCTGTATATTTACTAAACTTATTACTCATTTGTGCACAGGGTCTGAAAGGTACATGTAGTTAATTACCAACTTGTGAGGCAAGGCTTCCTGTGATGTCCAGGCTTAAAAAGGTAATTAAAGGTACTTGCTATTCAAAGGGTACTTTAGGTTTTTGTTTTTACTGTTAAATTTCTTTGTCCTAAACCTGATTCTGATCTTAACCTGTTGTGGTTAACTGCTAGATGCAGATAATTGTTAATTTAGGGATGTCACTAAGATTTCAAGTTGTCGGGTAAATACAACAAGTACGCGGGGAATCAAACAGCCAGGGATTTCTTTTGGTCCTATATTTTTCTTCTATTTTTCCTATGAAAGTAACCGGGAGCCGCGTTCATAGTAGCCAGGGAAATCCCCAGCCCCAGCCCCAGCCCCCGCCCCTTAGTGACAGCCCTGTTAATTTCCCACTCTTTTGCCTGCATGTGAAAGCACTGAGCATCTGACAGGATGTGGAAAAAAAATATGAAAATTTTGTGGCAATGTTAAGACATACTGTGCAGAAAATAGCCTCACACTGTAAACTGATTTGCAGTCAAATTGACAAAACTGTGAGTTCCACTAATATTTCTGGAATGTTATTTTGCTGCAAGAAAAAAGTCAATCAGGGGTGACAAAATTGCTGCAAGAAACAACAATGTATTCTGTTTTTGGGTTTGTGGCTTAAAGCTTGTGTTACTGCCAGCTGACTTTGCTGCGATTGCTCATAACATTATAATAATGATATCTGAAATATTTTAAGTGTTCACTTGTCGGTTTGACTGTAAATTATTTCTTCTCAATTACTCCCACTGACTACAGTAGAATGCCTATCAGAGTTGTCCAGAAAAATTAGAGAGGAAGAAAAAAATTAAGAAGGGGACAATAGGACTAGAATAGAAGGTACTAACAGAGGGAGTCTTAAGGCTTTCCTGGTAAAATTTGGGGCATACTGAAAAGTGTGTTTAATTTGGAGCCGTCACCATGCATGAAAGCTTTTTTTTTAGACGTAAGGATGGCCGGCACAAAACCCACAAATACATCTGTCTGGATTTGTTAAGACATGGTGAGAGAAATTTCAAGTGCCTTTTCACAATTTGACAACCAAGTCAAATGGAAATTAGTGCCTAAAAGTCACTAGCTGATGCTTTTTAATAACAATGACAAATTTATTATTGCTGGTAACAGACAACAAATTTCTCTCGCAGAAGTAACGGGAGTTTGCGATGAAATAAACAACATTATTTGAAATGTCCAGAAATTTTAACCTTTTAGTCAGTTGAACCATGAGGCCCATAGCTACAGTGTAAGTGTCTGCCTAAAACTGCAGATTAAGAAGCCATTAATCTTTGAGCACAGAATTGGCTTTCTAAGGCAAAATCACGTAAACTAAACACTCATGAAGTGTCTTTATACTTGGCAGTATTCTGGTAACACAAGCTCAACCACATACCTGTGTTTTGTCTGTCAACGTCTTCACCAAATCACACAATAAATCACTTTCACAGCAATCACAACACTTCCAAAAACCACTCATAATATTTCCACATTTAACATGGATGAAACATAATCAAATTACTCAGAAAAACCCTCACTTTCTCCACATAAATCGTCGCATGAAAACTTTTCTCAACTCACACAATCAATTAGAGCTTTGACCTGGTCAGAAATCAGCATCAATTTCCATCTCCCCGAATAGATTTCACCTCAAGAACTTGCTTTCTGAGGCCAATGACTTTTTACTGCCAACAACAAAGCTTGCATTTTCCTGTATTTTTATTACTATTTTTGACCCCTAAATAACAATTTGCTTAAATCTCGATCCATACAAACCTTTAGAATATTCTGCTACGCAACAGCTATCCTTGCTCATGAGCTTGAGAAGTACCTGCAGTGCTGCTACTGGATCTTAGTTTGAATTTGCAAAGTTAAGGCGTTTCTCAATGGAATCAAATGCTGAGTAGATCGAGTTTGTTATTTTTTAGAGTAGAAATTTTCTTCATATGTGATAGAAGTTAGAAGATTACTCAAAGCCCAAACAAAGGTTTTAGATTCTCACAACAATCGAGTATTGAGAGTAGACAGCAAATTACTTAATTACTTCAGGCCATTCCGGTTTGATGAGTCTCACAGGAATCGAGTATCGGGAGTCGAGACGCAATCAAGAATCATTTTTTTTGTCAACTTACTTTTGAACGGTACTGTACAACAGATTTATTATTCCCCTTAGAAAAATAGTTTGCTTGAGTAGCCTGTGCTTCTGTGATGACTCAGTAGACTGTGATATTTGCCCTGCTTACCAAATTTTTTGGAACACTGTGCCAATGATTTTGTCCAAACAAAATCTGAGTAAGAACAAAACTAGTTTCTGGTCCCATTAATGTTTTTTAACCATCACTTCAAATGAAACAGTGTGTTTTGGTCAATGTATAGACAAAAAACTGGATCATTTAAATTTTATCCCTCTGAAAAAGAAATTCAGCTTAAACTCATCAGCAAAGATGAACTTGGGGGGAGGTGCCCAAAAGAACCGAAGCCAAGAGCAATGCATAACCGTGACAGACCTGTGAGTGGCAACCACCCAGGCACCATCACACTGCTTACCAGTGGAACCTAGAATACCTTTGGACAGGGAAGGGAGCAAAACAGACCAAGAAGCACAAGCAACAAGAAGCAATGCAAACATAATGGACTGACCTCAGCTGAAAAGCTGTAAAACCCAATGGTTCCTTCGTAACGCTAGAGCGCCTCTCAAAATCACAATTGAGAGACTACTCGCCAGCATTATCTCAAGTTTAACTCAGTAATTTCGTTACCTCTGCATCCTGCGTCCCTGATGCATAAGAATCCCCAAAGACGCAAAATAATTCATGTCATGTGTCCTGTAGGATGCAAAGATCAGTAATCGAACGTGTGTTTGTAGAAATATCCCTTTCTTGTAATTTCTGTGGCAGTTATTATAGCCGTTGTTTAACAATGTGAATTATCTCTTTTATAGCATTTGTTGTGCTTAAAAAGAGAAGGACTATATTTTAATTTCAGTATACTGTAATACAGAGTTTTGGAGTCTGTCTTCAGATTAACTGTCTGGTTTCAATCAAAAGGCCCAAGCATTTCATCTTGAGACTTGTTTCTTTTTTTTTTAACTGAGACTCATTGGTTCCAGCTGGACTGGGAATCCTGATTTTTCACAAGATGAGTCCTGCAGGACTCACCATAACTATTTGTAACAAAGTCACTGTTAACTTAGCCTAAATTTCATTTAGCCATAATAGTCATTTATTTTTTCCATTGCAAGTTTGGCGACTTTGTTAGTTTTATGCAGGAAATTTCTCCAAATATGCAGTACATGCAGACAACAGAGAACTATGTGGACGTTCCACACCACCGCATCCTTTCTGTTTAATTTTAAGTGTTCTTATGTATGATATTAACGGGCATATATGCAAACCAAAGAAAGTAAAAGTTAAACACATCCCACAATAATTATTTTAGTACATTGTATTGTATATATTGTTGTTATAAATTTTGTTTTTTGAAAATTGAATTGCTATAATATTTTCCTTTTTAGGATTCATCCTTTACTAGCTTGGCTTCTACATCACAGGAAGGCCATGAAAGCAATACTAGTTCCACTTCCAGCAGGAAATTGAGAGTAACTCTGTTAAGCAGTGAATGGAGGTCAACAAAAGGAGGCTTGTCAACCATCAACCGAGAGCTGGCCATTCAGTTAGCAAAACATCCCAGACTGGAGGTCAGTGTTTATCTCCCTGAGTGCAGTGAAGAAGATAAACAAGTGGCTGCAAGTCACAATGTTCATCTCATTGAAGCAGAAGAAATGGCAGGTTATGACCCGGTTGACTGGTTGTCCTTTCTACCAGAAGACCATGTTGTTAACTGTGTGATAGGACATGGCACTGTTCTTGGCCGGCAAGTGCAGGGTATAAAACGTGATCGTCCTCACTGTAAGTGGATTCAGGTTGTCCACACTGCTCCAGAAGAACTTGGAATATACAAAGGATATGAAAAATGCATTTCCAGAGGTGAGAAGAAGCACCAAGTGGAGGTTGAACTCTGCAAATTAGCTGATCAAGTTGTAGCAGTTGGACCCAAGCTGGCTGAAGCTTTTTCAGGTTATCTTCGTCCATCCGGAAAGGATCAACATGTTTTCAAACCGAGTTTGCTGCTGTTAATCAAGCCACTGAAGAAAGGAACTCATTCAGTGTTTTAGTGTTTGGGCGTGGCGATAATGAAGACTTCCAGCTGAAAGGATATGACATTGCTGCCCAAGCCATTGCTGAGTTGAAAGACATGACTTACAAACTTGTGTTTGTAGGAGCAACAAGTGGTAAAGAAGAGAAAGTAGCAGAAATGTTACTCCAGCAAGGCATTGACCGCAGTCAACTCAGGGTGCGTTGTTTTAATGAAAGCAGGGAGAAGCTAGCTGAATTATTTTGTGAAGTAGATCTTGCTGTAATGCCATCACGAACTGAGGGCTTTGGTCTAGCTGCCCTTGAGGCTTTGTCTGCTGGTCTACCTGTGCTGGTCAGTGGGAACTCTGGATTTGGAGAAGCTTTGAGGAAAGTTCCGCATGGTTCAAGCTGTGTGGTAGAGTCAGAAGATCCTAAAGATTGGGCAAATGCGATCAAAGCTGTCCGTCAGAAAGGCAGGGAGATGCGTCTTGGAGAGTCTGAAGTGGTACATGGAGCATATTCAAAAAAGTACAGCTGGAAGAAACAGTGCGATGAACTAACAGAAAGGATGATCGAGATGAGTATCACTGAAGCAGGTAAGAAGTGCACCCCTAGTTAATTACTCACTAAATGCATTTATCATAAGATGGCTAAATTGAATATTATTCAGACAGTGTATGTACATGTATATAAAGGCAAAGACTTGCCAACAGTCTTCTCAGAAAGGCTCACATGTGCTGCAGTGCCCTAAAACATGGCAGGTCCAAAGGTTTTACTGGTTTTATGTTTCTCACATGAGTAAATTGTCAGGGTGGATAGTCAAGCCACTCACAAAATTTGAGACCATTCTTATTTAGGGTGTGCCACTGGTCCCTGGCTCCCCCACACCGTAATCAAGGCTGTGCTCTAAGGACAGTTAAAAGGAGCCTGGTGCTCTGAACTTGAAAAATCTAGGGAGCTCAGCATATGATTTGTATGAAAAAACTAAGATTTTCTTGTTGCCCCAAGAGAAAATATTGGGCTCCTGGAAGGCCACCGGGCTCTGCTAGAGCACAGCCCTGGTAATCATCTGGGCCCAGTTCCTGAAAGGCTGATTAGTGCTTATCCAGGATTAAAATTTCATTCTATTTTTGTATTTATTTTTACCTTCCTGTGTATTGCTTAGGGTAATATTTTGTGTTATCATTACTGTTTTTCAGAGTAAAGGTTCAACAGTAATTGTAACCTTGACTTACTTGTTTGTAGACAAGAAAACCTTGCTCAAAATTTGGCGTAATCCAATCCTGGGTTAAACTTAATCATCTTTCGAGGAACCGGATCATGGCTCTTACTGCACCACTGATTTATTTTGCAGCCGTGCACCCACATGAATTGTATACACTTCACATTAGGCTGGTGTAACAGCCTGCAAAACTAGATTTTCCAAAATCCTTTATAATTATGACTTTTGAACCAGCTTTGAGTATTTTATTTTTTCATTTCTTCCTCTTCCTTGCATCAGAGGGCAGTGATGTTGAGCTTACCACTGGTCTCCATTTTTCTTCCGCGAATGCTCCAAGCACCTCAAATAACCATGGTAAGGACCCTCCTGAACTGGATAAAGTTCTTGCATCCTTGGCTGACGTTAAAGCAGTAACCAAACCATCAAAAGATGCTGATCTTCCTGTTGATGTTCTGTTACTTACAGTTACAAACTGTGAGTTCTTAGCTTGTTACAGTGAGCTAAAAAACCCCTACAAATGTTGGTTTGATGATCTTGGCTATGTTTACTTTTCTGATGTGGGTGAAAGTCAAGAGGAGCTGAAAGTTGCTTTACTAAGATGTTACAGAAATGGTATTGGTCCTGGTGGTGCTCTTGTATCTGTAAAGAATACTGCCTCTCTGCTACATCCCAAAGCAGTCATTTCAGTAGGAACATGTAGTGGCCTCAACCCTGCAAAGTCCAAGTTAGGAGATGTTGTTGTGTCTGCCAAATTAGCAACATATGCATCAAAGGCAGTGACCAGCAATCAAGAGCGGTCAACTGGCATGAGAAGTTATGTGAGCAAACGCTTCCTGGATGTCATTAAGAATTGTGCTGATGGCTGGCAAGCACCTTTGAAGAACGTTGAAGCTCAGCAAGTTCAAGTTTATACTGATGCTGAGTTTTTGAGTGGACCGGAACAAGTCAGAGCTGAATGGCGGCATGATCAACTTGCTGAAACCAATCCTCAGGCTATGGCAATCGAAAATGAAGGAGAAGGTGAGCAGACTTTTTAGCCAGCCTTAGGAAGTGTAGGCAGCCTTAGGAAGTGTATGCAGTCCGGTCTCTTTTGACTCTATAGATGTGCTGGTTGCTTTTGATTCAGTGTTAATTTCAAGGCATTGCATTGATTGTTTGCTTGTTTGAGCTTAATATTATCATAATTTTTTGCTGAAATGATGGGCCTGCTCCCAATTAATATTTTATGGGTCATCATTGCTCAGTTGTTAGAGCACTGTCATGCAAACACGGAGGCCATGGGTTCAAATTCCCTTGAACCCTCTCCCCCTTAATTTTTTTTCAGGTTAATTTGCAATCATTGCTTAGATTGCTGTTACAATTGTTACAACAATTATATCTGCAAATTATACCCATTGACAAAAGATAGGTGTGGGAAAGGTGCCTGGTGAAACTGAAGGGGGGGGGGGGGGGGAAAACAAATCAAAAAAGAACCAAAAAAACCCCGAGGGGGGGGCCGGAGCGGCCACTGCCCACCGGAACCCTTCGGTGGAAAAAGGTGAAGAAAATCCCAAAAAAAAACAAAAAGGGAAGGAAGGGGGGCGAAAAAAAAACAAAAAAACATAGCAGAAACGAGAAGAGCCAAGTATATAATTCTCTAACACCCCCTTCCCCACTTTTTTTTTATTAATATTTATTTAATTTATTTAATATTTCTTTGTTGTAATCAAAAAAAAAAATTAATATTCAAAAATAAACAAAAAAAAAAAAAGGTGTGGGAGAAGAGCTACGGGAGCAGGGGGGGGGGGGGGGGGGGGGGCAAGCACATCTAGAAAGTAGCCATGACAACCCTATGAGTGGGACCGAGCAGGCACTGTCACACTGAGACCTTCAGTGGAGAAATGTGCAGATACTTACCAAAACATATCCAAAGGGAAGGAAGGACTGCGAACATAAAATGCAAAAGCAACATAGCAACATGAGCAAAATGATTGACTATAGGGAAAGTACTGTAAAATAATGCTAAAGCCCAAGACTGCCCCATATTCGATTGGTGGTGGAGACCGCTGTATGGCGTACATTTGCGGACAAAAATAATTGAAAATAAAATACAATTTGAAGTTCAAAAATTAGACTATCCATGTCAAAATCTCGTCATATGAATTTGAAATCGTAATGAATGGAGTCGAAATAGCGTCATTCGAACTTGAAGTTACTTTGAACAAGTTGAAACCGTAAAGGGAAAACTCGACATCGTTGATGTTGAAGTTCAAATCACCATTCCAACTAGAATGCAAATTACATGATTTGAACTTCAATTCACCTTCTCCACTCTAATAAGCCACTTAATCGTCAACAATGCAACCTTTCACAAAATTCCAAATGGAACCTTTAATTTGAACTTAAAGTCACGTCACATATTCGAATTCCAAAAAACAAAATTTCAATTCCAAAGGAAGCGGAAGTAAAAATACACAAGAACCGAGTAACGACTAGGTACGACAGTGATAAAAGTGTTGACAAGCCTACACGACTCCTGCAGTTCGCGGATGAATAAATTCTAATGAAGCCTTCATAGCTTAGCTTTAACTAGGATGTCCTTAAGGGATTTTCCCTTACGATATGAGATGATGGGGGGCTCCTTAAAGATTTCTCTCAGTTGCGGATGATTTTCTCTAAGGTGCCATGGATAGTCTCAGTGGGGAAGGTGCATGGTGAAACTGAAAGGAGCCGCAAGTGAGCCTGGAAGGTAACCATGACAACCCTGTGAGTGGCACCCACCCAAACCAATCTACAGGTGCTTGAAGAAAAAAAAGGGGACAGCGAACAGGGGAGTCACAGGACATGGTTTCCCCTTTTTTCCCGTTTTCCCTTGCAATAAAAACTAAAGAAAAGCAGTTTACTACTGAAGATGAATAGAAGTCCTAATACCTGCCTGAAGCATGTCCGCCAGAGAAAATTAAAGTGCAAGCCTGCCATAACCTCAATGCAAACTGACACAACTGGGAAGGAGGCAGTACAGTTCACATCCTCTACATTCTTCATCTGTCTTCCAATTTTTTTTTTTTTTATAGAAAGTTAGGCAAAATAATGTAAGCTATATTGATGTAGGACTGTCTTCAACATTAACTCAAGTGCCATTTTCTTTGTTGCTCTATAGGAGTGTTTACAGCAGCATTTGACTGTCAAATTGAGTGGTTAATTGTAAAAGGGATAGCTGATTACGCAGATGGTTGTCAGTTGCCTTCAGAGAGTTGGTCCTCCTGTGCCAGTGTGATGGCAGCATCTCTTGTTGCACACATTTTGAGTGAGCCCTGTGTTTTTCATTCATGGCCTCATTACCAAGGTAAATATTTCTCGTAATGTTATGTCCCTTTTTGGCATGTTGTTTTACGGAAACTTAAGGGGTGCATTACAGTGTACTTCCTTTATGCCATAGTAAGCTCAACACTGCATTGTGGGATAGGTGCCACACATGACATCTTTTTCTCTTTATAACAGCTTTCTAATTAGATTTAATCATATCGGTGTCGATATCACAGTAAGACTACTGTAACCGGGGCCACTTAGACAAAGTTGGCCAATCACATTACAGGAAAATAACAATACATTCCTAAGAAAGTTGGTTGTGGGCCAATCAGCAGCTTGCAAAAAACAATAATTTATTTGAAGCACAAAATTTAAATATTGAGAGCAAACGTTTTGAAAAACGCAAAATGTTTCACCAGACAATGTTTTATTATTCAAAACTTTACGTACTGTACATCTACAACACCAAGGAGACATACTTGTTTGACACAAGCTGATATTTTGTCATCTACGAGACACTTCTTTGCTAGTATCGCTTTGCAATGACTTTCGACCTCAAGTCAAAATTATAACTGTTTACATTTTTCGCCTCCTTCACACACTTGATTGGACTTCTCAGGAAACACAGGCTTTCTTCAGCGGGTTCGAAAGGTTACGTCTGTTGGTTGTGATTTGTTGATTTTGATCCATGCTGTTTATTTCATTTTGTAGTAATTATGATTGACAACTAACTTTCTCGGAATGTATTGTTATTTTCCTGTAATCCGATTGGTCAGCTTGGTCCAGGTAGCCCCGGTTATAATAGTCGTATTGTAATTATTATGGTTTCTTTAAGGAACCTGCAAACGGTAAGAACATTGAAGAAATCTCTTGTTATTTTAAACCAAAAAGAGATTGAAGTAAAATCATGGAACAGCAAAAAAGTTTTGGATTTTGTTGTGAAATAGGGTTTAGATTAGAAGAACCTTCTAAGGTTTAACATTACCACCACCAAGTGTTCTTAGCTGATGAGTCTGTTTTTTCCAGCAGTCGTATTGAGCTGACCACATAGCTATATTTTCTTTTTTAGTGTTAAAACTACACCTGTCTGATAGGCACTGCTGACTTTATTAGTAGCCGTTAATTCTAGTAGATTTCTTGAATGTAAGTGAGAGATCTCTTTATGTTACAGATATATCAGAGCAGAGCTCAGCCAGCAGATCAAAGGAACAATTACCAAGTTCCTCAGGTGCCGATATTTAGGCCCTGTCCAAACAAATCCGGATATTTTTGAAACGACATATTTTTCTACTTGAATAGGCCGCGGATGAATGATCGGATTCACTGGTTTAGCGTTGAGGGAAGGCCATTTTGTGAGAAAGGAAATGTGCGGTTTCAGAAATATCCAGATTCATGTAGACGGAGGCCTTAATGTTTAATGTTACATTGTACATGTAATGAATACAATAAATTATGTTACGATAAGATACATTTCCTTTCATTTTCCTTTGCTCTTGGATGTTTCCCTCTTGTTTCTTGTTTTCTTGTTTTCTTTCTCTTTTTTCTCTTGATTTTGGTTTTAATTTTTTTGTTTTGGTAATTTCTTATCTTGGTTAATGTTTTGGGAACTCTCGTATCAGGGTTGTTGCGTATTTTAGCTAATAATTAGGCAAAAATTTTTCGTCCTTAATGGGGGCGATAATTCGAAAGGGGGCACTTACATACATTTGAAGGAGGGTGTTAATTCAACGTTTACGGTACATGTCTGCCATTTGATTCAAAAAGACCCGCTTCCCTCTCCTCTGTTAAATACTCTTGTCTAATTAGCTGCTATTTGCACTCTGTTCCTTAGCTTAATTGTGAAATGGATAAGGTTTTCCCACCCAAGTCTGAGCAACAGATTTATAGTACAAAACAACAACACAGCCTCTAAAGCCAGATTTAGCGTCAATGAGCGAGTTCCAACAATCATGACCTTTTGATATTTAATACTAAATTAGAAGGGGAGGCCAGTACAATGTAAACTAACGATAGTATAAAAGTTTTGAAATCTACATCTATATCTCAAAAATTGTTGAACAAGTCAGCCTTGCAACAGAAGGTTGTTAAGAAAACCGCTGGACAGGTGTAAAACTTGGTAATAAGCTTAACGCATGCAGAATCATGCGTTTTGCTGCAGTGTTACCCTGCTTAGGCCCTGTTTTCAATTCTTGAAAGAACATATCCACACTCAGATGAAAATGACCGTACTAGTTAAACTGCCATTATCACTGCTACCATAACAGTGTACAATTAACTCAGTCCTACATGTACTACTCCATGTGTTGGATAAGATAAAGGATTTAAGAAAATTGCTTTTTTTATAAACAGATGCTTCAACGGCCTTTTTGAAGTGGAGTCAAAGTCAGCTTTGCTCATTCTACAACAGTACCGCGAGCCAGTTAATGATTACTCCTTGGGACCGGGATAACACCATGGACATTGATGAGGTGTATGTACAATTAACACTGCTGAGAGATAACAGAAAACTTGCTGGAACAAGTAAAGAAAAGCTTAAAGATTATAGCGAGATATTTGCAAGCCATGGTCATCACCTAATTCCTAAGAGAATTTTAGTTTACGAGAGACCAGGAATAGGAAAGTCGACGTTCACTAAGAAACTCGCCGTGGACTGGTCACGTGGTAACAAAGAAAGCCTAGAGAAATTTGCTGTTGTACTTTTAATCAAGCTCCGAGATGTTTGCAACAGGCAAGATTTCTGTGACATGCTACAAAAGGCCGAACTGTTGTCTGCTGATGACCCTATGGTGTTTGGCCAGTTGTATGATTACATCCTTCGTAACCAGCAGAAAGTCCTACTTATTTTAGACGGCTATGATGAATACAGCGCCGAAAAATCATCGCCAATTCATCAGATTTGGAAAGGCAGTCTGTTGAGAGATTGTACTCTTCTTGTGACAACACGACCGCTGAAAAACGATGAGTTAAGACCAGGAAGTCATGCTCAGTTTGAAATTTGTGGGTTTGATCGGTGGCAAGTTGAAAGGTTTGCACTTAGGTTTCTTCGCGACCAAACAGAAGTAGACGAGTTTGTATATTTTTTGTATGAACGGGACCTGTGGGACTTGGCGGAAATACCACTCCTCCTGTTAATGTTGATTCTAAGCTGCAATAAATATCAAGAACCATCAACATCCCGCCGCGCAAATGTGTATAAAAGTTTTTGTCAGACGCTGCTTGACCACGTCTCCGCCAAAACCTCAGATGAGACATTTAGAAGCATGGATGAATACAAGGAAGACCTCGGAAAGTTGGGAGAACTTGCATGGGACGCACTTTTAAATGGCCGTCTATACTTCAAGCTCAGCAACCTTCCTGAGTACATTCGGTTGCTCATTGTAAAGTTTATCGATTTTGGCTTTCTACAAACATCCAATCTTTCTAACTCTCCTCGTCCTGAGAAACTGGCGTTCTTTCTTCATAAATCGGTACAAGAATTTCTTTCTGCATTATTTATTGTTCGCGATTTGAAGAATGCAAAGGAAGTTTTCGACTGTCTGTCGAAAGTCGACTCATTTGAACCATTCAAGGAGCTATTTGAAGTTTTTAAATTTGTTTCTCAGTTGTCATCAGAAGCTAGCGTTGTTGTTTTTAGCCATCTGAAGATGATGCGAGAAAAAGAAGGTGTGACAGGTGACAACTTCTGCGGTGAAAACCCTTCTGTTAAGGGGCTCACTAAAGAACAAAAAGAGTTTTACAATACCAGTCTCGAATTGTTCCTTTCCTGCCCCGCATCAGAAAGGCAAGCCGTTTATCCTTCATTTCTACAATGCGTTAAGGGTGTTATAGTGATAGATGTTGGTGATCACCTGCCTACAGTTGCTAGAGAACATTGTTTGAGATCAACAAGTTTCCATAAGCCAGATTATGTATTTTTCAAAACTAGGTCTGTACGTGATTTACTACGACATGAGGGTGATCAAATGTTCTCTGTAATGTGCGATTTGGACACGGTTGTTCAAACATGTGATGGTGATGCAAAATTTGTAAATACGTACTACGATCTAAAACCTGATGACTTTGTCGTGAAGAAAGATGGACAGCAATTAGTGTTCTATTTAACTCGCCTTGATTCATTGGGACTTATCGATGGTCTGAAACACGTTGAACTGCTTACTAGATCATTAATATCAGTACCAAAGTCCTCTCTTCAAGAGCCTGATCACGTGTCACAGAATCATGATGTTTGCAGCTCATTGGATTTAACTGAGAAAAAATCTGACCAGACTCTGACACACTCTCTGTCATATTTGAGAGAGATAAAAATTTCGGATCCAACAAGTGAACTTCTTAGTATTCTTTATAATCTTCGTCATTTAACTCGCCTAGCTGAGCTTGTTTTAAGTGGTGTTGGTATGGGGAATCAAGAGTGTCAGTTACTTGCCACTGCTTTAAAGTATGTTAATCAGTTACGATTACTTAGGTTATCAAGTAACCCACTCGGTCACGGGATAAGTGGGCTTGCCAAACACCTGCGCAATGTACCTCATCTGGAAGTGCTGTGGTTAAATGTTACACAGATTGGTGAAGAGGAAGTCACAGCTTTAGCCGGTAGTTTGCAGAATGTGACTCAGCTGAGTAAACTTAACTTATCAAACAACCCACTCGGTCACGGAATAAGTGAGCTTGCCAAACATCTGCACAGTGTACCTCATCTGAAAGAACTGTACCTGAATGATACACAGATGGGTGAAGAGGAAGTCATCGCTTTAGCCCATAGTTTAAAGAATGTGACTCAGCTGAGTAAACTTCACTTATCAAACAACCCACTCGGTCACGGGATAAGTGAGCTGGCCAAACACCTGCACAATGTACCTCATCTGAAAGAGTTCTACCTGATTGATACACAGATGGGTGAAGAGGAAGTTACAGTTTTAGCCCATAGTTTAAAAAATATGACTCAGTTGAGTAAACTTTCCTTATCATACAACCCACTCGGTCACGGAATAAGTGAGTTTGCCAAACATCTTCACTGTGTACCTCAACTGAAAAAGCTGCACCTGTATGTTACACAGATGGGTGAAGAGAAAGTCACAGCTTTAGCCCTTGCACTCGTCTACGTACCAGACCTGAAGCTCCTTTCGCTTGACAAAAATCTGCTAAACCGCGGGGTGACTGAACTAATCAAGTGCCTCAGAAGTAGTCCTCAGCTTCCTGGTCTCTGCCTCACTAAAGTTCAACTGACGAAGAAAGAAGCCACCGAGCTGTCTTCTTTAGCAAGTGAAAGGAACATGTACTTGGAGCCAGATTATCATGTAAGTTTCTCTTTTGTAGTTTGCATTATTAATGCTCGTAGTACCCAGGAACTTCCTGGTAGACGAGAATGAACCGTTCCTTAAAGGGGCTGTGTCACCATTTTTATTCATCCTAAAAAAATACAAATCTTTGTAAAAAGAAACTCTTGTCACATAGTGGTCCTTTCTTGTCAACAATTGCTATCGCGTTGTCTTTCTGTAGACGTCCACGTTGGAAATAGATTGCAATATCATATTCCGTCAACAATGATTCTACGTCAATGGACTAAATTGGATTTCAATATCAAATTCAAGTTCTGTTAACGACTACTCTATTAGTGCACTAAAATCATTAATAAGTGTCTTTGGCTTTAATAAGTGGCCGGGATGGTTTTGCTTTCATGTTGGGATTTCCTTAGCGTTTTCTTAAAAAGCCAACTTAAAAAATGAATGCGGTTTGTTCTTGACTATAGAACTTAAATACTATTCAAATCTTGCTCTTGCAAGGTTACGGTTAAGCATGTATTTGAGGTTAAATCTCGGGATGATGCGCAGCGATGCAGTGAATATAAGTGACAGTTAACGTTCGGCGGTCCCGTCTGATAACTAACGTACAGTTGGAGAAAAAATAAGGCGAGCGATAATTTTCGCTGTGGTGCAGACTTAACACTGGATAATATACCGGCTTGTACGAGTTCCCGAATCTCGTACAAGTGAGCTTCCTCGCAGACTAGAGGTACAAGGTCGTTGAAACCACTGAGGGGAACTCGTTGGTAACTCATCTCAAGGTAATTAGTATGTGTAATCAAATGGTATACTCGTGAAACTAGGGAATAATTTCGAAATTACTAGGAACTGGACAAAACGCAAGTTAAATTATTTCCTAATTTCACGAGTATACCATTTGATTACCTATCAATATCATGGGTGACGAATTAGGATTGCAATCGTGGATTTTTGACATGTTTATCATTTATCGCATTGATCGGAGAACTCCACGCGCTCTACGTACAAATCATGCTATTATTTGTTTATACTACTACCCGCAAAAGGTTTGTAATTTTCACGTGTAGTTATTTCAAATTAAGCAGAAATACCACTGCTCTAAGCCATCAAATTACAGAAATTTCTCATGTTTTAGTATAGGTTATAGCGTGATTTGTAGTTATATTTGGTATAAATACCACAAGTGATATTTCGAAAAAAATTTGAGACAATTTTGAAATATCACGAGTGGTATTTGTGCCAAATATCACGTACAAATCATGCCATTATTTGTTTATACCACTACCCGCCAAACGTTTGTAATTTTCACATGTAGGTATTTCAAAGTAAGCTGAAATACCACTGCCCTAAGCCAATCAAATTGCAGAAATTTCTCATGTTGTAGTATAAGTGCTGAAATTTCGCGCCAAAATTAAGAAGTAATTTGTCACCCATGATATTTAACAATTATTCCACGAGGGCGCGTTGGATATGAGATGATAGATAGCCAACGAGGCGCGTAGCGCCGAGTTGGCTATAATCATCTCATATCCAACAAGCGCGAGTGGAATAATTGTTTTATTAAAAACGCCCACAAAAACTCGTTGAATCTCCCCTACTAGAACAAACCGGAAAAGACAAGGGACTTCCGCTATTCACATGTCACACGTCTATCAAAACTGTCAACGCGCGAACGGATTCGCCTGGACTGCATGAATGAAAAATCAAAACATTGTAGCGATGAACATTAGTTTTTTAAAAACTCATCGAGATTCTAAGATTTTACACAGCAGAACAGCTAAAAAACCTGGCAGATAATGTGAAGGAAAAGAATTTTTAAGTGACAGCCGTCGAAATTACTGTGAATTTGGATTTTCGGTGCAGTTGTAAAAGTAAGAACAACGGAAAAAAACTATTACCTCGGTCGCTTGTTATGAAGTTGTTTGAAGCCACAAGCTGGTTTTGCTGAACGAGAAAAGAAGCTATACTGCCGCCTCGATTGCTCTAGTGAATGGCTGCATAGCCTGTATTTGTAGCTGGTTACTTGTCATTTATATTCTTGATGTCGGATAAACAAGCCGCAGTTATCTATCGGCGAGTGACTCGATCGGCGAATGGCTTCGCTATCATGTAGAAACAACACTTGTCTTCTTTCGTAGCTGGTGAAGGTACTTTAGTTCCATGTGTTTTCATGTGTTTTTCGACAAACTTTCAAACAAGCTCTTGTGGCTTTTTTGTTTGTTTTTGTCTTTTTTCTTCCGATGAAATTGCATTTCTAGTATTCTAAGAAATGAATTAAAACGATTTGCTTCGGGCGCCATTCTATCCTTCGCAAAAAAAAATCTCAGCTAGCTTCCAATTTTAAACTGACGCGTACACCGACCATATATGGAGAGCATGGTATAATAGCTCATATACCATAACGGTTAAGCCAATCAAAATGCTAGAATTGCATTGTCCAATGATTCAGTTTTTAATAATTAACAATTATTTCACGATTGCGCGTTGGGTATGAGTTGGCTACAGTCGCGAGTGTGAAAATTGTTTTATTAAAAACGCCCACAAAATATCGAGAATTCTTCCCGACTTTATTTGTTAAAACAACCGTTTTTCAGCTTGTTGGTAATTTTGAGCAGACTCGAGGCAGACGCGTACAGTTATCATATTTGGAAAGCATGGTATAATGGCTCATATACCATGATGGCTAAGCCAATCAGAGCTCTAGAATTGCATTATGCAATGATTCAGTTTAAAAAATAATAGTTATATCACTTACAAGTGTGCTTATTGTATACTGTTGAAATACAAAAATTAATTTTTGCAAGTCCTCACAACTAAAATTACATCACAGTAGAATAAACAACTAAAACTATCGTACTTGAAAACTCTTAAATTGTTACTCTTTATTGGAATGAAGTTGATGTGAACTGCCTAAAATTTCAAGCGTTTTAAATCCGTTGCTGTTTGTCTTCTTTATTAGACCAAGGTTAATGGTTTGCCGCCTCGCTAACCCCGCCTAGTTACTGAGACAGAACAACAAGAACAGGGAGTCATATTTGATGAAAAGTGGAAAATGGTAACTGTGAGAAGAGAAGAGACCTGGACAGTAAATGAACCACCACCATCCGTGCGACAATCATTTAGGTATTCCCGTATTTAAAATATCTCTTTGATATCCCTCTAATTTTAGTATTCCCGCACATGCCGGGCACCCCATAATTTAATTATCCTTGCATTTTGGGTATCCCTCTAATTTATGTATCCCCGCATTTTGGTGTCACCTTAATCTAACTTTTCGCTTATTTTGGTTGTCTCCCGGATTCAGCATTCCACATATTTTGAACCCCCTGCGCTCAAATCCCTGGTGATGTGGGTTAAATCACTGATCCTACGCGTGATGAAAACCGCGGTCGTTCAAACAACCAAACCATCTTATAACAGTCGACAACTAGCTCAACCATAGATCTTCAAACAAAAAAGTTAGACTGGAAGTCGTGTTTCAAAACGAACGGGCGATTGCGATCACATGGAGAAAAACCACCAGCCTTCAAAACATTTAATGTTCCTCATAGACATGCAACATTAACGATTTTTAAACTTGTGCATGCAATGTCGTTTTGTGTGCAAACTAATAGCGTAAGGTAATCTTAAAACAATGACACGTGGATATTTTATTCGTCGGAATTCCCGTCCAAGGCACGAAATACAGCGAGTAACTTGCAAGGCAGGCATGATCCAGGCGGGCACATGTCATTGCTCATGCGGCTTACGCTTGCTATTCAGGTTTCGCTGCCAAAGATAGTGCCTTCAAAACAGGAACTCACTTGACAAGGGATATTAGTATCCCGCTAGGGACGGTACTAGGGGATACCCAGGGAACGCTGTGAAGGATAGCACCTCGAAACAACAACCCAAATAACAAGGGATGTTAGTATCCCACTAGGGTACTAGGGGATACCCAGGGAACGCTGCGAAGGATAGCACCTCGAAACAACAACCCAAATAACAAGGGATGTTAGTATCCCGCTAGGGTACTAGGGGATACCCAGGGAACGCTGCGAAGGATAGCACCTCGAAACAACAACCCAAATAACAAGGGATGTTAGTATCCCGCTAGGGTACTAGGGGATACCCAGGGAACGCTGCGAAGGATAGCACCTCGAAACAACAACCCAAATAACAAGGGATGTTAGTATCCCGCTAGGGTACTAGGGGATACCCAGGGAACGCTGCGAAGGATAGCACCTCGAAACAACAACCCAAATAACAAGGGATGTTAGTATCCCGCTAGGGTACTAGGGGATACCCAGGGAACGCTGCGAAGGATAGCACCTCGAAACAACAACCCAAATAACAAGGGATGTTAGTATCCCGGTAGGGTACTAGGGGATACCCAGGGAACGCTGCGAAGGATAGCACCTCGAAACAACAACCCAAATAACAAGGGATGTTAGTATCCCGGTAGGGTACTAGGGGATACCCAGGGAACGCTGCGAAGGATAGCACCTCGAAACAACAACCCAAATAACAAGGGATGTTAGTATCCCGGTAGGGTACTAGGGGATACCCAGGGAACGCTGCGAAGGATAGCACCTCGAAACAACAACCCAAATAACAAGGGATGTTAGTATCCCGGTAGGGTACTAGGGGATACCCAGGGAACGCTGCGAAGGATAGCACCTCGAAACAACAACCCAAATAACAAGGGATGTTAGTATCCCGGTAGGGTACTAGGGGATACCCGTAACACTGACCTGAAATAATGGAAAAACTCACATCACTAGGGATTTGTATACGGAGTTATCCAAACCACAGGGATACCCAAATTACATTGGAATACATCAAGAGATTTTTGTACTTCTTAGCGTACACACTGTATTCGATGCGTAACTATCATGGGTGAAACCAGAAGTCGATCAACCTAAGAATCTATCATTCAAGTAAGGCCTGGGATTTTCACACTTTCTTCGAAAATTTGAATTCCTTAAACTCGCAAGCAAATCGATATTGTACACGATGAACATGAGTTTATGAACACGACC